AGATGTTTTATTTATAGAGAACTCACACGTTTGATTGCCATAGCTTTCTGTATTCCCAAGTCAGTGAGTATAATATATTCCATATTTTGTTGCTGTTTTCCAGTATTAAACATGTCAACATTTTACATTAGAGTTGTAAAAGTTAGTGAGATAGGTCTGATAGGTCTGATGAATAGCAATGAGGCCAAAGAAAAGAAGAATGCATAACATGAATTCCTCAGGAAATCAATTAATATTTTCATGAGCAGTAGTAAAAATACGATCAAGGTTAGCAGAGAGTGAGGTCAGACTATTTGATCTCAAACTATATTTTCCATTGAGTTCTGTCTATCACTGTAAAAATATACAGTGCTGTGTCAAAACTAAAATCTCAGTGCTCCAATGGCTACACATTTTATCTATTAGAATGTACAGAATTCTTTATTTGGCCATGTAGCCTTGGATAGGGCATATAAACCCTGTAATTTCTGCAGTACTTTCAGTTTCCTAACTGACTTTTTGTGGATCTCTGAACTTAGCGTATTTTGGTGTTCTGAATTATGTATTACGTGTGTAAAAGTTAAACACTATATTTTATATTTTTTTGAAGAGGTTCTTGTTGAGGCAAGGTAAGCAATTCTTATATTGGAGTAAATGATGATTAATATTTGAAAATAAAAGTGATAGAGTATTCATACTACTTCTACATTGCTAAGATTCATTCATTCATTCACTCAGTGACAGTTGAACTCCAAATACATGAATTTATTGAGGACGAGAATATAAAAACTGAGGACAGGAATAAAAAGATATGAAACAAGTGTAACACTTCAATTTGAATCCTGGGAGGTGCTCAAATAATTCTTTATAATGGTAATAAATTTGCTGCAATCATCACACATCTATCAGGCCTTTGCTAGATGGACTGACATTATCATTTAAATGGAAATTCTTGTCTCCATTTATTAGCTAATGTGCACTGCTCTCTGGGTAACAGTTAAGCCAAGTGATATAGTGGAGCAAAGGATTAAGTAATCTGATTTTTCCAATGGACATTACTATATGTTTGAATAAGAGTCATAAATATTAACTTTAGTGCCTATTTTAAAGAAGCCCAAGTCAATTCAAGAGCTGAAGTCTGTTTGTTCAGATGGAAACTACAAAACAGCAATCATGGATGTATGGGGGACCATCCACGCATGCAGTGATGGGCTGAATGACAAGAAGTTAGAACCATCCAAGCCTGGAGCTCAACACATGGGAGTGTCTTAGCTCTGAAAATGTGTGTCTACAGGCATATCACAATGTACCTCTAAGGCTTAATTTTTAAATTCCATGAATGACAGGGAATTTGGTTCTCAACCTTTTTATGCGTGAGGTCCTTTTTGTAACATCAAGCATTTCTTGGATACCATGAAATAAGAAATTTTTGAATCTTTTTGAATCGATTGATAGTTGAGGAAAAATTAAGCACAGGTGGATTTGTAGATATCTTACAATAAACCTGTAAACTACAGCCTGAGAACTACTGAAGTTAATGATGTCTAGGGCCTCTTCCACATCCAAGACACTGTGATTCTTCTATAGCTTTGCTATCAGTGACTTTCCTTAAACCCTGCGTAGGATGAGGTGCTCACTCACTTCCTGTAACTGCTACTTATTAGGCCCTGTTCTGCTTCTGAAATAACATAAACTAACCATGATTTCTTCCGCACAATGGCTTTCCATTACTATCCTTAAATTCAGAAAAGACAGGCAGCTTACAAGAATGTACAAATTATAGCAAAACAGCACGTCAGGAAAAGAGGAAGAGAGAAAGAAAAAAGTGAAGCTAGGAAATAAGTTTCAAAATCCATCCTATTAATGGCCCATTTATATGCCATAGATAGCCCACAAATGTGGCTCTCCGTTTTCTAGCAGTCAGCATTCAGAGGGAAACTGTATCAGTTGCAAAATTCACAATGTCCTCAGGACAGCAAAAGCATTCCTGTTGCTAAGATCAGACTGGAATAGCCACCATGGTTCCTCACAGAGAAGCCCATTGGGATGCCCAGAACCACACGCATCAAAGTTCCTGTATAATGACCACAATATAAACAAATGGCATTACACCAAAGTACAGTGTAGGAAAAGCAATTCTTTGAAGGGCTAAAACAGTGAGGCCTAGGTACCTAGCTCCCCCTGCTGTAGATCTGGCTTGATCCAGGGGTACATTCTAGAATATTTCCAAGAAAGGATCAAATGAATGTCTTATAAGTAATTTTTCTTGAATATTGGGTCTTTTAGGTAAACTTTCGATAAATATTGATTAAGCTTTTGATTAAATATTAAATAAATATGTACTTACTTTATGCCAGGCACTGTTCTAAGCATTTTACACCAATTATCTCATTTAATATTTATAATAATCTTACACAGCATTACTATAATATACCCTGTTTTAGAGATGAGGAAACTACAGCACAAAAAGATTAAGACCACATGTAGTTGGTGGGGCCAGGATTTGAACTGAAGGCATCCAACCTAATCTCCTTTTTCACCACTAGGGAACCCCAAAAGGCATGTACGTTGGGTTAACATCCTTTTATGAAAGCTAGGATTTGAAGAAAAACGGCAATGATAAGGTCAATTTATCTCTGTTGAGAAGCCAAATCAATGGGAATTGATGTAATCCTAAAAAAGAGTATGAGGATTGGGGAAAAAAGTCAGGAAGGGAAAGGAAAGCATCAAGTTAATATTTCAGAAAATCATTTTTCTGTATTCTTTTTTCAGCTTCTTCAAATTGCAAACTGTTGTGATTCAAAATATGTCTGTGAATTCTTTGATACTCTTTCCTTTAAAGGTGGAGCCTAATTCCCTTCCCTTTGAGGGTGGGCTGGATCTAGTACCTCACCTCTCATAAACAGAATAAAGCAGAAGCGATGGTGGACAACTTTGGAGATTAGGTCACACAAGGCACTGTGGCTTTCTCTCTGCTCTCTCCTGGATCACTTGCTCCAGGTAAATTAGCTGTCATCCTGGGGACAAATAGCCTAAGAAGAGGGCCATGCAGTGAGGAACTGTAGCCTGCTGCCAATAGCCAGTTTGGGACTGAGGGGTTTTTGGCCAACAGTCATGTGAACAAGCCATCTTGGAAGTGGATATTCCAGCCCTAGTCAAGCCTTCAGATAACTGCCACCCAGCTGGACTGCAACATCATGAGGTAGCCTGAGCCAGAACCACCCAGCTAAGCCACTCATGGATTGCTGACCCCCAGAAACTCTGTGAGATAATAAATGTGTTTATTAATTAACTGGTTAAAATTTGGGGTTATTTGTTATGCAGCAATAGATGACTAATATACAAACTCCCCAAACGACAAAACAGAACAAATCAAAATAAAATAAAACACATTATCTAGAATTTCCAAAGGACAAAGAAATATCCTGAAGATAGCAATCCTCCTTTATGTAAGGTTTGCCCCAAATTGTCTTAATCCACAGGTATTAAAGAAATTAAATTCACTTCCAAAGTAACTTTCCATGATTTGGAGCTTAAATATGTATGTTACTTATTTATAATGTCACATTGTGTAAAAAAGAGAAGATAAAAGGTATTCAACCCTTAAAATTACACAAAACCTTCAAAGTTCTTAAAGCAAGGTGAAAACTGACTGCAGAAGATGGGCCAAAGAAACTCCCCATCTCATAAAGAAAGTTAAGATCTTCAAAACCAGCTTTAGAGACTGGAACAATAGTACACAATTAGCAGGCAGAAGCATACAATTTAGCCATTAGTTAAAAACGATGGTAACTCATTTTAAAAGAAAACACTCACTAGCATTCTGATCCCGGAATCTGGCAGCTTGTTTGGGCCACGCACAATCAGTGGGTGCAGATTATACAGTAAATCATGATGACTAAGGCTGGAAACTGTAGTTTGATTTCCATATTTTCTAAGGCTAGCAAGCATTACATAGAGTTTTCATTCGAATGCAATCATGATTATTAATTCAGAGATATTGCTTTCCGCTTAGGCATCACGGTATCTCATTATTTTTCAACTTCCACTTCCTCTACCTTATCTCTCAGCCCAGGGCTTTGTGAGCCCCACTGCATGACAGATAGGAAGCTTCATGAAGCACGACAGATGCCAACTTATGCACAGGTGACTCACAGTGCTCAGCCAAAAATTAGGCCTGGGTAATACGCCTCTGCCATCAACACTCCTTCTTCCACAAAGCTCCTCATGGAGTTCCAATTTTCAAAGAAATGTTTTCCCATCAAAATCCAATAGCATTTTATAAGCATATACACTTTCTTCCCTTTCTGGCCTGCATGAAATTTAATATCAGGATTATTATCCATGTGTCATTTCAACCTATAATTTAGTAAGCCTTTTTGCATTTGAGTTATCCTTCACTCATCCCTCACCGTCAGCTTGCAGTCATAGGTTCAATAAGCAAGCCGTCTAGGTCACATGGGTTGACCTTTTAGAACAAACGTTTTCTATGCTGCTTGTTCTGCTTCCCTAAGAGGCACCAATAGTTTTGCTCATCTCTATTTAAAATGATTTTTATGACACAATAACATTTCAAGTTTTCCATAGTAATTTTCATTTTATTTCTTGAGATACTTAGGCAAAGTTGCTATCACTGATGGGGAATTCTCTTTCTCCTTCACTCCTGTCTACTGAAAGCCAACTCTGAAGAAATTACAAATTTTTCTGTGAATTAGCTGAGTCCTGGAAGAAAAGTTTAAGTCTGTTCTAGTGATTCACGTCTTAAACACTGTGATAAACAATAAAAGCAGAAAATCTTAATATGACTCTTCTCTCCCCTCCAAAAAGAAAAAATACATATATACGTGTTTTCATATCTGGGATCCTATATAAGAACTTTAAAATCCGTTTTCTTACACCAGTTCAAAGATGTCTGAGCCCAAAGGGAAAATGAGGATAAAATAAATATAGAATCCTAGCCAATTTGCCAAAGCAAACAGACACACACAAAGTCAACACCCAGGGGTGTGGCTGGTACTCACCCTGCAGCCCAGACTGTTGCCCCCTTCACAAGTGACCTTCCTCCTGCCTGGCTCGGGAAGTAGGCCGGCTCCGCAGCCAGGGCTGGGGCACAGCACGCCCCCCATCTGCAGCACACACTCTTCAGCGCCATATTGCTGGTACCGATTGTACTGTAAAAAATGACATGAGTTTTTAAAAGTGATAATACTAAGATGTGCTGTTTTAGCCAAAATGTTAATAGGTGATGGTGTGTGAGATTTCTTGCTCACTCGATTTCAGTAAAAAATGGAGGAGGGTATGTGGATAAGGAATGGTCCAATGTAGAGAAAGTCTCCCAATTCCGACTGGCCAAACAGGTAAGTGAGGCATTTATTCTTTGTATTTCTAGAAATTTGTCCTCAGAAAATAGATTTTCTGAAGTTTGGTTTTTTAATACTACTTCCACCAACTGCATTTAACAGTCTTATTTCATACAAATCTTAGGGAACACATCCATTATTAAGTTATGGGCACTTATAATGCACCGTTATCAATTTCATCAAGTAGTATATTTTCATGCCTCTATTCAGGGTGCTCTGGGTTTTTAAAACCAGTTTGAAAGTAGGCCGCAATATTCCCCCTCGTGGTAATTGCTAGCAGCCCACACAATATCACTGAGTATATTCAGCTTGATGAAGAAGAGACTAATGTTAAAGAACCAAATTTTCCTTTCATCATTCTTCTTCTTCTTAAAGCCTGATTTCTTTTCTCCCTGACTTCCTTTCTTTGGGCTACTGCTCGGCTCAGTTCCCTTTCCTGTTTTCCCCAACCTGCAGAACAAAACCCAAAGTCCATCGTACAATCTCAGGTCTTCCTCGTTGCAGCCTAAGTTACTCATCTTGTGCATTATTTGATCATATTCTCTTCTAAACTCAGATCAAGTCAAAGGATTTATTGAGAGCCTTCTATGTGTCAGACACTACTATGGGTGCTGGGGATACAGCTGTGAACAAAACAGACACCTCTGCTCTCATCCAGGAGACCAACAAGAAATACTGCAAGATTAAACTATCATATTTCAGTGGGAAGGAGAATAAAAAACAGCGAAGAGATAGACTCCAGGGAAGATGGAGATTACAGTTCTAAAGAGGTGATTAGGGAATAGGGAATGCCTTATAAAGAAGGTACATTGAAGCAAACATCTGAGGGAGATTAGAAAAGAGAGCCATGTGGCTACCTGGGGGAAGGAGCTTTCCAGGCCTGAGATACAGCAATACAAACGTCCAGAGGCTGCAATGTGCTTGGTTTCTCTGAGGCACAGCAAAGAGGCCAGTGCTGCTGAGGTAAGAGAACAGGGGTGAAAACAATAGAAGATGAAGTCAGAGAGTTAATGCGGATGGAGGATGGATAGGCCCCCGAAGACCATTATAAGATCTCTGGCTGTTATTCTGAGAGCTATGGGAACCACTGGAGAGTTTCGAGCTGTGGAGTGACATAATTTGACTAATCTTTTAAGGACGGCCATCTGGCTGATATGTTCAGAATAGACTCTTGGGGGCAAGCTTGGAAGCAGGAAGCTGAGAAGCAGGTAGGATGTTATTTCAGCAATCCACGAGAGAGATGGTGGTGGCCTGAGCCAGGGAGGCGGTGGTGAAGGTGGGGAGCAGTGGTGGAATTCTGGATATATTTTGAAGGTAGAAATGGCAAAATTTGGGGGCAGATTGGATACACAGTGGGAAAGAAAAAAGAGTCAAGCATGAGTGTAAAGTTTTTCCCTGAGAAGACAGAAGGACAGAGAGAGAGAGAATATTAAAGAATATTAATGAGATGGGAAGACTTGGAAAAAGAAAAGTGTGTGTGTGTATTTAGGAAGCTGAGAAAAGGAATCATTATTTCTATGTGCTCATACTCAGTTTGATAACCTATTACACAGCCAAGTCAAAACGTTGAGTAGCTAACTGAATATATGAGTTTGGAGTTTAGACAAAAAATGTGAACTGTAAATACAAATTTTGAAGTCTACGTGCATGTAGACCTTGCGGGGGAAAGAGTTGGCATCAGGCCTACCATCCATTTTCTCATTTTTATGGCCCCAGGAAAGAAAGATGACTTGGTCATATCCCCTTATAAACATGCTAATGGTACATACATACAATGGCATTTGCTAGAAAAGAGTTCTTATTTATGGAATGCATTTAACAGGAAATACTTGGTTTAAGATTGCTTACAGTAAACAAACTAGAATCTGTGAATTTATGGGCCAAGTCTCTCTGAAAAATGTCATAGCTGTGGAATTATCAAGGGATAAAATGAAGATATTTCATCAAGTGACCAATGATGAAACAGTTTACATAATTGAGAGGTTTCACGTTAGTGGTCATTCCATGAACTTCTCAGAGACCTCATTTATTAAACCTTGTCTAGAGTACATGCTAATATGCTGAGAAAGGACCTGGGGAGCCATGTTAAATGATTTGGACTTCTCTGTGCTTTGATGCTTACCTGCGTCCTTGAAGTTATTAGTAAAGCTTGACACTGGGTTATATTTATGATTCTTGTAAGTCTGATTTGACAATCTGACTCTGTGTTATCTCAATAGAAGTGACACTGGATGAGATTATTCAATCTCTTTAGGGAATATGAGAAGGACTTAGCAAAGGAGACTGAGAAGCAGCAACCTAGGAGGCAGGCGGAAAATGCGAAAGATGTGGTTGTCCTGGAAGCCAAGGGAACAACATATTTCAAGGAAGGTGTCTTGATAAATCATGTCAAAGGCTGTAGATAAGGCAGTTCCTGAAAACTGGTTGGAGTTAGAAATGTAGGTGCCTTTGTGATCTTGACAAGAGCCATTTCAGTGGAGTCATGGAGCCAAAAGCCTTACTGGAGTGAAGTCAAGAGAGAATTGCAGGAGAGGAATTCTAAGAGGTGAGAATGGACACTTTTTTCTAGGAGTTTGGCTGAACAGGGGAGTAGAGACATGGGATAGCAGCTGGAAGGGGCTGTGGGACTGTAAAGGATTTTTTGAAAATGGAGAAATAATGTTTTGGTACTCTGAAAGGAATGAATGAGAAGAGAAGGCAAATTGATTTAAGGTAGAAAAAGAGCTATGTCTTTAAGTAGGTGGAGGGAATGGGACCTAAAGGATGAGTAGAGGGGCCGGCCTTAGACAGAAGGGAAGGTAGCCATCCTTAGTAAAAGGAAGGAAGGCAGAGTATTTGAGCCCAGGTGTGGACAGACAAAAGAGGCATTGGAAATTTGAGAAAAGAAGTAAAGGTGTGAATGATAAAGGGAGAGGGAAAGGATGAGGGGAGTTAGGATTATTGCCAGGCAGTACTAACAACCCATTTGAGGTTAGAGATTATGAATTTAAATGGAAACTAGTCAGTGGGGTTGTCTGCTTTTCTCCACCAACACTTAACTGCAAGGGCAGAGCACGCAGGAAGTTGGATTTAAGCTGGTTGGGAGCTTTGTCAGACTTGTATGAGGAAGCAAGACATTCCTCAATCACTCCCACCCCCATGTGGCTCTGGCACACAATATCCCTTCATACAACTGGGAATGATTTCAATATTTATCAAACCCCTCTGATGTGCTGAGCTCTGTACCACTGGACTGTTCAACCTTTATGTCTTGGCCTATCCAAAACGGGTACAAAGTTTCAGTTTTGCAAGATGAACAAGTTCTGGAGATCTAATGTACAGCAAGCTGAATACAGTTAACAATACTATATTGTATACCTGAAATTTGCTAAGAGGGTAGGTATTTCAGAACAGCAAGTCTTTTACTTAGTATTTGCTGTGTTACATCTGTATCTCCTTTCTTCCACACTGGTTCTCAAGAACACAGAGGACGATAGAATTACAATATTGCACAACAGCTCATTTGCTTTATCTCGCATTGTACATACAATGATTTTAGAATAACATACCAACACTATCACCATGAATATGACTACTAAAAACTTCAAATATATTTTCATATGCTTCATCCATTCTCCTGCCAAATTATTTCTACAATAATAATACTGTATCTACATTGTTGAAAGATATGGCCATTTCATACTATGCTTTCTTTCTCTTAATCTCCATGTTATCTTAATTACATATACACACACTCTCAACAAATAGCACAATCTTTATGTTGATGTCTCTCCAGTAATTTTGGTTGTTAAAGCTTGCTCTCTAGTAAATTCCTCAAAAATTTATTATTTCCCTCATAGGAAAAATATTCACTGAGTTCTTGCATATTGCTGACAGTTTATTTGGGGCCTTTATTCTTGACAGTGAGTCTGGCTGGATATTAAGTCTTGGGCTCACACTTTTTTCCCCCTTGAGTATCTTCAATGTCTCACTCCATGTTCTTCTGGTCTAAAGCATTATGGACAAGCCTGATGACAATCTGATTTTTTTTCCTTTACAAGTGAATTGATCTTTTTTGCCCAGATGCTCAAAGGATTTTTTTCTTTTTCTTTAGAACCTAGTAACTTTATTAGAATATGTCTTGGTGCTGGTCATTTTCTGACCAATTTTCACAAGCATGCTATGTCAGGAAAGTTGTATTGAATTTAATTTTTAGTTTTTGCTCTATTCTCTTGCTTTGATGTTTTTCTTATAGGATTTCTAGGATACATACATTGGGTCTTCTTTAACTTCTAAATCCATCAACTTCTCTAGAATCCTTTATCTTACTTTATTTTCATCTTTTAGAAATTTCTTCCTTTTCACTCTCTATTTCTCTTAAGATAATATGTATTGTTATTTATTTGTATTTTTAGTTTCCTCTGATTTGTGAGCGTGCCTGATTGACATGCTATCATCGTCTCTCCAGTCATTCTTCTTCTGTCTCCTTATCCTCTTAAAAGCTTTGTATAGGATTTAACTCTGTTTCTTTTCTGTTGGAATTTTACCTTGTTCCTGTCTGTTGCTCAGTTTTACAAGAAATTAGTTCCCCTAAAATTTTAGAAGGAAGTAGGATTCAGAATAACTCTTAATGGCTCTAGAGTTTTCTGTTTTTTTCTGGACAGTGATGGGGGCTCACTTTCTGTGGTCTTCCAACTCTGTTACCCCATTTTTTAAACTGGCCTTTCTCTTTCCTTTTTCCCTTTTCTATTCTGAGCAAATTTCTCCTGAGTATGGGCTCTGTCCTGACAGAGATCTTTGGCTGGCTAAGTTTTGAGAGTCTACAGGACCTA